CCCAAACTCCTTCCTCCCTCCCAGGCCCCTGGGTCAGGCGCCTCTCTGAGCTGCCTGGTGTAAATCCGCCTCCTGCGTTACATCCGATGCCTCCTGCCCGATAATATCCGCCCGCTCCCTGCCCCCGCTTTAAATGGTGCTATCCCGGTCACAGGTAGCGTTAGCCACGGAGGCGCCCAGAGCTTTCTGTCGTGGCCTCCCAGCTTGAGCCTGCATCTTGGGACCCATCATCCACCCCCTTCCTTGTCTACGTGCAGCGAGGGGATCTCGCCTGGCCCGCTTGTGCTGAGGGGGGCTAGGAGGGTCAGCTGGTCACCAGCTGTGTCGTGTCCGAAGTTCCGTCCAGTGTTTAGTTCTGGACTCTCGCTCTTCTCTCCACCACTTTCTGTTCTAATCAAATGCTGGAGAAGACCGTCTGGCTTTGAAACTCGACACCTGCACTGAGGCGTTGGTCACCATAATCTTCTTCCTCCTCCTCCTCCACTTCTCTTTAAATGCTGAGTGTGGCAAACAGCCCGAGTCTGTCAGGAGGAGCCTCTTTCAGCCTTCAGAAGTGCAGAGGGGGGAGTAGACCCATTCACCTCGCCCGCAGCGCTCGTGTCGATGGGCTTTTCTGATGCTGGATCTTACAGAATCGCTGTGTGGGCTGCTTTTTTCTCTTTTTCTTGAAGATTTAAGAGCAAGGGCTGGAGGAAGTTTGAGCAGCACTAACTGCGACATAATTATTCGACGCACACCTCCGTTGTTTTTTTTTTAATGACTTGAACATTGTGGGCTTTTAAAGAGATTTGCTGGGCTTGGCCTTTGGCAGTATTACACTTTGATGCACAGATTCGTAAAAACTCTTTTAAAATACTACAAGCATCTTACATGCTATAGGACCAAGATCCGATGGATTTCTATGAAACCCACCCTACTGGAAAAATGGATTTCTCCAGGTAACCTGGCTTTTCTAGCAGTGTCAGTTGGAAAATCTGACATACTTTACCTATTCAGAAGGCCAAAATATTAGATTGTATACTCTTTGGGAGCAGAGACATTGTCTTTGTGCCTATATGTTATAAAGGCACAATCACTATTTGTTCTGTGCAAGTAGGTACTGTTGTGCAACAATCGTACTTTTGTGTACGAGCAGAAATTTGGACTGGTCCTTACTGTATGTGTAATACACGCAGACAGTGAAATCATTTTTAGTTATAAAGAACTGCTGGGGATTACTTGAAGCATTTTACATAAGAACGGCCGTACTGGGTCAGACCAAAGGTCCATCTAGCCCGGTATCCTGTCTACCGACAGTGGCCAGCACCAGGTGCCCCAGAGAGGGTGGACCGAAGGCAATGATCAAGCGATTTGTCTCCTGCCATCCCTCTCCAGCCTCTGACAGACAGAGGCCAAGGACACCATTTTATCCCCTGGCTAATAGCCTTTTATGGACCTAACCTCCATGAAATTATCTAGCTTCTCTTTAAGCTCTATTATAGTCCTAGCCTTCACAGCCTCCTCGGGCAAGGAGTTCCACAGGTTGACTACACGGATTTTCTACATGGATAATGTAGCATGTTTTCAAGAACAGGGCAATACCTAAAAAATACCTTTTCAGTGCTTTATTTTCCCCACCAAAATCTATTTTAAAAACTCAAGCATGTAAAATTTACAAACATATTATACAATTTAAAGTACAAGAATGTGCACTTTAAATCTCTCCTTAAATTTGGAATAGACGCTTGATATTTGAAACACTGCTTTTTATTATCTGTGGAATGATGTTTTCTGAGAGAGAAATGTACATGTATGTATAATGACAGAAGTTTCAAAACTAATTTGATGCTTATTATCTGCATTGTGGTTTGTTAGGCATTCCAGTAATGCTAATCATCCAATCATCAAATATGTAAAGGTTTTCTTTGTGAAATATTTTGTGGTTCCTATTAGTGGTTCTGAGATCCATCAGCCAGTCAGTTACTACAAGTACTAGATTTTGACAATGCAACTACTAAAGCGGAATAAGACTGCACTTCATAGTATTTAGCAAAAACTTATGTAGCCAGATGCCGAGAGGGTTTTACAGTGTACTTTATAAACAACACAATATAATGCTGCAAAGTGTAGATGTTTAGCACAAGCTTAAAGTGTTGGATGCTAGTAGTTGAATTCAAACTGATTGGCAACCTTTATTACTATCTATGTAACCGCAAATCTCAATTTGTGTTTTTGTATCCTGTACTCGTTCTGTGTCTATACAGCACCTACCACAGTGTGGTCCTGGACAGTGATGAGGGCTCTTTGGTGCTATAATAATACAAACCATAATTATTCAAAATTGTTCAAGGTGGCCAAATAGGGCGATAGGTGCCAGATAAATACAGAGAGCAAGAACCTTGCTAATTCACAACTCTGACTTGGAGACTCATTACAAAAGACTACACTTTTTATTATCTTGATAAACTAGCAACTAGAAGTCTGAATGCATCACAAAATATGCTTTGTTCATTTATTTGGACAATTGTCCAATGAGTGTTTTATAAATTATATTTATTCTAGTAAGTGGTTTGTATGGTACTTCATAAAAGTCTTAAAAAATAGGAGATGTTACTAAGGCCCTCTCTGTTCTAGGAGATTTTTTGAGCATTTCCCTAAGGGAGATGAGGCCTAACAGTCCCATATGTACACCTCACTCTGTCTTCTGGATTGGGGATAGAAAAAGACAGGAGGGCTACGTCTACACTGGCCCTTTTTCCGGAAGGGGCATGTAAATTTCACTCGTCGTCGTAGGGAAATCCGCGGGGGATTTAAATATCCCCCGCGGCATTTAAATAAAAATGTCCGCCGCTTTTTTCCGGCTTTTAAAAAAGCCGGAAAAGAGCGTCTAGACTGGCCCCGATCCTCCGGAAAAGGGCACTTTTTCCGGAGGATCGGGGCCAGTCTAGACGCTCTTTTCCGGCTTTTTTAAAAGCCGGAAAAAAGCGGCGGACATTTTTATTTAAATGCCGCGGGGGATATTTAAATCCCCCGCGGATTTCCCTACGACGACTCGTGAAATTTACATGCCCCTTCCGGAAAAGGGGCCAGTGTAGACGTAGCCATTGGGACAGAGACTGATTTTATATCTGTTTGCCATAGCGCCATCCTCAAGCTAAAATAACAATAAAAGAACTCTGCTATTAAGAGTGTGATAGTAAATGGATTGTGAAAAGAATTAGATTTTTTTTCTTTAGAGAGAAATAATTGGGTTTTCAGATTAGCAAAGTCAGAAATCTCAGGTTCTATTACATGAACAAATTTGTGTGTTTGTATATGGGGGGATATTGCAAGAATACATGTGACATGAGATCAGTATTGTGCTATCACCACAAAATCACTGAAACACAGAGAACCCACATATTCCTGTAACAATTTCCTACTTTTTAGCAATTTGCTCAAACAGAAAACAAATCAAACTTAAAAAAAATTAAATGCACAATAGAAGACTTATTTCCAAAACTTGCTAATGGCTTCCCGTACTTTTGGCACAGTGATCTGTGCATATACACATATGGAAATGTAAAACTCATCACAGGTCAGTCTTCAGAAAAACACATGTTTGACTGTCTTCTATAATATGTTCTCATTTTCCTAAAAGAACCTGTAATCCTGTTAAAGGATTGAGTTACTGCCAAACCCTACACTTTGTTGATAATTCTAAAGATAATTCTTTCTACACTCCTTTTCAGAGGAGGTAGGTTACCTTTAGGGCAATTGTGCATTTTATTTGGGTGTTGCAATGAGAAACTAGTCTTGCAAAAAATGTTTCTGAATTTACTGGATTTCAGATTGGTGTCTGTTTAGTTCTGAATATTTTTTTGCATTTAGAATAAATATTCTTCCATATGAATCTTCTCTCACTGCTGAATGGGAATGGTTTTATGGTCTAACATCAAGTTTAAATGCAAAGTGAGGATGACTCAGCCCTTCAACTTTCAGGAGGCAGATAAAATAAGTCCCTTGCAGGCTACTACAGGTGGTTCAGTCTTTTATATGATTTTAATCCGAGGGCCTGTCCAGTCTGTGTGGACATCTACAAATTTCTTGTCATTTCCAAAAGTGTAGGAGTTTGTCTTGTGTCCCTGAAGAAAATTGAGACCCATCCTATTGTTGTGCAATTTGTTGTGTGCCATTCTCTCTATACAAGTATGACACCCCCTCCCTTCTTCATCCAGAATTTGTGACCCTTACTCACATGAGTTGTCCTTAAATCATGCAAATAGTTCCCATAATGCCAGTGAGACCATTTGGGTGATTAAGGGTTTATAGATTCAAATCCATAGTTTGCAAAGCATGCAGTAATTTTCCGAGATGAAAGGAGTTATAAATGCAGGATATTTATTAAGTTGATATTATAATGCTTCATTCTTTCAATATTCTAACCTGTCACAATCTTTGAATAGTCTTGGGAGTAAGGTCAAAAAGATGTTCCTATTTTTTAGGCTGACTTTAAAAAAAAAAGTTGATGTCTTTTCTTTTGACTTTGAAAAAAACAAAGAACCCAAAGTCTGTAGTAAACATCAGCTAAGCCCCAGTGCACACTGGGAATGGCATGGGAGAACTGTTTGAACTGGTTTTAAACCAGTTCAAGCTAACATGGCTGTTTGCCTGGCCAATGTATATGAAACATATTTTAAAAACTGAGTTTAAAAATATTACCTTGTTTAGGCTGGTAAAACTGTTTTGCTGCAAACACCATTTCTCCCTGCTCCCATCCGTGTGGGTGCTTGGAGTTTTCACCTACATCAGAACAATGTTTTGAAAATTATTTTTCATAGAGTCAATGCTCACAATTTTGCCCCTCAGAGTGTGGGTATGTGGTTTTTCTTTCCTTGTAGCCCACTTAGATTTTGTCTCAAGATATTGTACCAGATTATTTCAAAGGTAAACATACAATAAACAACTTGACTTCTATTGCCAGAAAATTGCACTGCCTTGTTGATTTATGATCCCCTTTGGCTACATTCCATGTCTAGTATATATAGGTAATCAGCAGCTTTTAATAACTTTCCAAATACCTGATTTAATCCTGGGGGTATTTTCTGAGGGAATTGTCAGACATAGGAAAGTAAACTCTGTTTTGTAACATTAACAAATACCATTGTATATGCAAACTCTCTCTAGTTTTGCATGACAAAGCATGAAATTGTTGACTATGCAGTATGGAGAGAGCTTGAATGAATCGGTAGTTACTGCTGTACAGTAACTTAATCTTTTTGTTCAGTAATATGTTAATAGTACTGTGGTTATAAAGCTAGTGAATTCACATTTTTAATGTTCTGTTTTGGATTCCTGGTATTAGTTAGCAGGCCAACTATCATCTTCAAGAGTTTTGTAATCTCACTTTGACTGATATAATTCCATATATTCAGCGAAATTACTCCCAATTTCTATTGACATCCACTAATTCAGAATCATATCCCTAATTTTTCTGTTGGCTAACCATCATGTCACAAACTTAAAAAACTACAAATAGTCTGGTAGCACTTTAAAGACTAACAAAACATGTAGATGGTATCATGAGTTTTCATGGGCACAGCCCACTTCTTCTGTCACATTAAGTCACAATATTAAGATAGTAAAAACTTGACAACTAATTCTAAAGTGTTTAACAAGTTTGTGAAACATGCTTATTGGTTTTTGGATGTGTAGTAACAAAGGTTCTTATGTTTCTGACCAAAGCAAAAGGCCCGTGTTGGTCCTCCAGAATGAATCTCACTACTCCCAAAGGCGTCCATACACCAGTGAAGATGAAGCCTGGAAGTCCTTCCTTGAAAATCCCCTTACAGCAGCTACCAAAGCCATGATGAGCATCAATGGCGATGAAGACAGTGCAGCTGCCCTGGGATTGCTGTATGACTATTACAAGGTAGGCTGGCACCAGTAATGTTTAACAGCCAAAGGTGTGCTTGTTTTGCCTGCTTATAAAACAGTAATTTGCTAGGGAATGTAATGGAGCTGTTTGCATAGTAGCTATTAATATTGTAATGAGGGCTCTGTGTTTATGGTTCTAACTTTAAAAAAAAAAATTAAAACCAACTTTGATTTTCTGACAATAGATTTCTTTTAAGCTAAGCAGAAATTAGTGATTCTGAAATCTTTTGTAATAAATCAATCAACTTGTGTAGCCTATTGACACATTTTTCAGGATTCAGTTTTTAATAGTTACTGGCTAAAATGCAGGCGATGGTATAAATGAATATAAATCTAAAGGGGAAAGGGACTGTCTTTGTGTTCTGCTTGTATAGTACTTAGCACAATGATACCCTGGACCACAACTGGGCCTCATGGGTACCACCACAATAAAAAAAATAAATAATAATATGAATGAGACTTAGGCTGGGATTTTCTAAGGAGCCTAAAACAGATAGGTGCCAGAATTCCACATATTTTCACTGTTCTGTTCACAGGATTCAAGCAGAGATTTGTTCATTTGGTTTCGGGAAGAGCACAGAGAACATTATTAATTATTGACAACCCCAAATAGATTCTTCAGCCTTTAAAACTGCTACACTTCTTATGCATAAAATACATGCCTATTAAGAGTTTAACCATTTTTTCAAGCAGTATAGTTACACACGATACAGTTTTATGTATATATGTATTATATAATTTCTAATGCAGAACTCAGTTTAGTCATTAATGCATGTGACAAATTGTTAGTGTAAAGGTAGTTATAACTGAGACTAACAGGGATGCTTGCTTTCCACCTAAAAAACCCCTCTGTACTTATTTGTCACTGAAAAAGAATTCCTGTAGCAGATTTTAATCTGCTATATCCATTTTTAAATGTGGAAATTTGGTGAAGGCTGTAATGAAGAGCTTTCAGTGAAACACCAATAATTTGCTGTGCTTTGGTATTTATTCCCCTATTCATGCTGTCTGTGGAGTTTGGGGAAGGCAAACTTATAAAGTATAAAAAAGCATATGAAGAAAGTATAAAATGTTGGAAGACTTCACCTGTTATTTTCTAAGGCTAAATTAAAGGAGCAGGTGGGAGTTTCCAAGATCTGGAGTAGAAAATTAAAGCCTGGTGGGGCTGCTACCTATAAAGGGTTTGGTAGAAAATTTTTGTAATTATTTTTTTCTCTTGAGCTAAGACTCGTCTAACAATGACAGTGCTGCTTGGGAAACATTACAACAACAGTTTCAAAACTTCCTAGTGATTTTTGGGTGCCCAACCTAAGATCCCTTCACGGGGATTAATTTTCAGAAAGTGCTGAGCACAATCCCTCTGAAAATCGGGCCCCTTTAACATGTCTAAAATTAGCCATTTCAAAATGGAGGGTCCCAAAATCCCTACTCCATTAAAATTTTGACCCACATTTTTCTGATACTCTTACATTCTCTGACATTTAAAAGCCACTGAATTTTAAAGGTTTTAATTGGAGGCTATTTAGAAAAGTGCTGTTTCTACTAAGGTTTTCTGTCCTCAGCCTCTAATTACTATTACAAAAAATTAGGTGTTTCCAATATAATTTAAATAGCTTGCATTTGTCAGGTGAAGGTGGAGTACCTGACTGTGCTTACACAGCATGTTTCTGTGCTGAAAGGTGTGGAGTTAATTCCTTTGAATGTATGAATATTCATTATTTAATGTGCTATCAGTGTCTTGTAGCTTTTGTGTTTTATCAGAGTAGCCTGTAACCACAGAGCAAGTAATGACCAAATAATCAAAAGATCTGCATTTGTATTTTTAACAATGTATTTAGGAAATGTTAACAAGCATACACATCCTTGCCATATAAATATCTGAAAAAATAATAACCATTACAACAGTAAACTTTTGTTTAGAGATTATGCAGAAATACAGTAACATGATCTCTCTCCTGCAGGATGTTACCGTAGTACAAAGTGAATATTATTACACTACCCGTGGCATGTTGTCTCCAGTGATTTTTATTAAATTGAATGAACTCTCTTTGATGGTGCAGTGTGCTAAGACAATAGCCCCTTTTTATATTTGGAGTATATATTTTTATATTTCAATTTCCTCTGCAGCATGGGACACTGGTCACTTCTAGGTGTCAGCTAATGGTGGAAGTCTTTAAGTCATGATTTGAGGATTTCAGTAATGCAGCTGAAGGTTAGGGTTCTATTGCCAGAGTTTGTGGGTGAGGTTCTGTGGCCTGCAATGTGCAGGAGATCAGACTGGATGATCATGATGGTCTCTACTGACCTAAAGTCTGAGACTGAATACAAGTATCCTGACATTAGAACAGGGGTGGGCAAAATGCTGTCTGCCACCGTCCTGCAGCCCAGTGAGTCCCTAGAGCAGGCTCCCTACTTGTCACACCTCTGCACGCTGCTCAAAGCAGCTACCTGAGGAGGCCTTGTGCATCTTGGTGCACTGTGTGCCCCTGGTGGGGAGCATTGCTTCCACCCCAACAACATCTCACAGCTGCCATTGGCCAGAAACCAGCCAATGGGAGCTGCCTGGGCCATATTTGGAACCCCCTCCCAAATCCTGCACTCCAGTCCCCTATCCCAAGCTCATTCTGCATCCAACCTCCATCCCAGACCCACATCTCCTCAATTAATATAGAAAAGCACAGCTCTTGATCATTTACCAAATTCTTGAAGTGCCCCCCATCAAAAATTATTGCCCCCTCCTTTCAAAGATCTCTGTTTAATCCCTAATATACATCCTATCTTCCCCACAGCTTTATAAAAGTGTCATTCTCAATTCTGTAAAAACGAGGAGTCATGTGTCATCTTAGGGTATGTCTACACTACCACCCTAGTTCGAACTAGGGTGGTTAATGTAGTCATACGAACTTGCAAATGAAACCCGGGATTTGAATTCCGAACTATCTAGTTCGTGCCGCATGTAGCCGCGGGCATCGAGTCCGCTCTAGCGGACATTTAAAAATGGCGGCGCCTGGCAACATGCAAATGAAGCCCGGGAAATTCAAATCCCGGGCTTCATTTGCAAGTTCGTATGACTACATTAACCACCCTAGTTCGAACTAGGGTGGTAGTGTAGACATACCCTTCAAGACTAACAGAATTATTAGAGCATAAAATCCCTGTGCCCAGAACAGAGTCCCATGGTCGAAGAAACCGAAGCCGTCTCTGTGACACCACCTGCGCAACCACGCATTTACTTCCTCAATTTGATGATCCCTGCCCAGTCCTTTCCCTTCAACAGGGAGGATGGACGAGAACAACGGTGTGTGTGTGTGTGTGTGTGTGTGTGTGTGTGTGTAAGTTTCAGAGGAATAAGGAGGTGACCAATATATATTAATACACTGCCTCTAACTTCCACTTCAGTCCCAGCTTGGGATAGGGGATTTCTTAACACACACACACCTGTAAGGCAGGGGTGGGAAACCTCTGGCCTGGGGGTTGGAAGCAGCCCCTGGCTTGCCTGGATCTGGCCCCTGAGGCTCATGGGTGCCTCCCCTCCACCGCATTGGGGAGCCCACACTGGTGCACCACCCCCACTACCTCACCACGGGGCTGGAGCACACAAAATCTACTAGGCTGGGCCCACCTAGGCTCTGGTATGTGAGGGGAATGTGTGGAGTGTCTTTCTCCTCAATCAGAGGCCATGTCTGTGAGGGTTTGGTTTTGGTTTTTTTGCTTCTCACTTCTGTGTGGCCTCCAACTGATTTTGTGTGTGTGGGGGGGGGGGGGGGGGGGGGGGGGCGCCACAGTATTTTGTTTATTTCCTGTGGGTGTTGTGTTGTGGGGGGGGGGGGGGGGGGGAGTGGGCAGCTCCCAACCCAAAAAAGTTTCCACACCCCTGCTGTAAGGGAACACATTAACCTTCCAGGACATTCAGCAAGGAATTTGAAAGTAGCCATCCTTCTACAAAAGAATACAACATCCAATTTCAAAGGGATTCAGCTGACATGGAGTTCATTTGCAAATTCAGTTGGATCAATTTAGGACTGAATAAGGATCTTAACTGATGAACACATTACAAAGGAAATTTCCCTTCTTTTGGTATTCACATTTCTACTTCAAATACTGTGAATGATACACCCACTCTGACTTGATTAGCCTCATTAACACAATGTATATACCCCTGCCTCTGTAACTTCACTCCAATTCTTCTGACGAATGTTTTACCAACAAAAGCTCATGCCCTAATAAATCTGTTAGTCTCTAAGGTGCCATAGGACTCTTCATTGTTTTTGCAGATACAGACTAACATGGCTGCTACTTGGAGAATTCTCAGTTCTGAAATATTGGTTGGGGGTTTGCAGGTTAGGACTGTAGTTAGATTTTATCTTTAAATAGTAAAAGTGGAGGAGTGGCTGACTGAGATGAAGGGGGAGCAATGGAATACAGAGCATTGTCTCTGTCCAGGTTACTGGTTCATATCTAGCCCAAATCAATAGTTGATGAATACCATTAATGAAAGCTGTTTGGTGACTTAACGTCCGCGGCATCATAGTCTAGTGTATCGAGAATCACCCTTTATGGTAATACACTAATGCAAGATTAACACATTTTAATGAATTTTTAGAGTCCAAAAGGTCAGTAGGTTGCTTATCTCACGACTTATAGGCATCTATAATTTTTGCTGATATGCTTATAGCTTTCTATTAACTGTGTTTAACTCTTTTTATACAGCTATCTTTAATATAAAGTGTGACTGGACAAGACATGGGACTGGTTGTTGAGAATTTATCCAGTTCTGCTGTTGACTTGTTCTTTGGTCTTGGACAAATTGCTCAGGGCCTGATTTTTTCAAAAGTGTTCAACACTCTCTGATTCCAGCTGGAGTTGTGGGAGCTCAGATCCCCTGAAGAGCAGGCCATCAGCCTCTCTGTCTGCTTCCCCAGGGGTGGAGTGAGGCTATACTTTACCTTGGGGCACAGTGAGAGTTTAGTTAATGTTTACATATTGCTTTGTGACTATAAGAAGATCTGTAAAGGACCAATATTGTCATTACAAAATAAACTTAGTGGTCTTTCCAGCTGGAGTTGTGGGAGCTCAGATCCCCTGAAGAGCAGGCCATCAGCCTCTCTGTCTGCTTCCCCAGGGGTGGAGTGAGGCTATACTTTACCTTGGGGCACAGTGAGAGTTTAGTTAATGTTTACATATTGCTTTGTGACTATAAGAAGATCTGTAAAGGACCAATATTGTCATTACAAAATAAACTTAGTGGTCTCATTTCCCTAAAAATACCCTACCAAAAATCTCCACAGAGGCAAAGGTGTGAATGGGCAAAGAGAAACTGATCTACACAACCTCTGTGGATAAACAGAAGCTGTCCCTCTCCATTCTCCAGAGCTGTTGAGCGGATCCCTTTCCCAAGCAATAAAGTCACCCCACAAATTGAAGCCTGTTAGTAGCTCTGAGAAAAGAAAACTAATGGCAACTCTGTATTTTCTCTCCAGTTCCATTATTCCAGTTGCTGACACTTGATAAGAGATCATGCTCTTTCCAGACAGGTTGGAATTTTGTCCCTGTTTTAAGGATTAAGTAGCTTGTCTTATCTTTCTATGCAGGAATCCAAATTCCCAAGTACTGCAGCATTATATTAGCTTGGGACCCTTTTAGCAGTGTTTGGAACAGAATTGTCTTCCCAAAACAACAGAGATGATAAATTTTGGCATTGCAAAGAACTTTACAGGTGTTATCTGTACTTTCAATAATTGATGCATAGCAGAGTGCTACTCCGCTTGCAAAACTGCGGGAGAGGGAAGGATGAGTTAAACTCTCACATCTTATACCTCCAGGTTCCCAGAGAAAGAAGGACTTCAGCAGCAAAACCAGATGTAGATAACCCTGACCAAGACCATGGCAAAAGGTACTGGATTGTACTTTGCATATTTGCTTTAACTGACATGCTGATATGTCACTAATGAGCTGCTTAAGTGAAGTTCACTGCCATACCTGCAGCAGTTCTCCTGCATTTGTAATGGAGATTGCAATTCTTTCTGCTGCACCATCAAGGTGTAACTACCCGAAGGCCACATGGTGGAGTAACAACAGACTTCAGAGTTTGCGATAGAAGGTCCTTGAGCAGCAACCAGGGCAGGAGTAGGGAACCTTACTCCCCAGGGGCCGGATGCGTCCCTCAGCTTGCCTGGATCCAGCCCTTGAGGCTCATGGGCCTCGCCCAGCATTGGGGAGCCCACACTGGTGCTCCAGCCTCTCTGCTATCCCACCCTAGGGCTGGAGCACACAAAATCTAGTAGGCTGGGCCCTCCTAGTCTCTTGGTATGTGGGAAGTGTCTTTTTCCTTCTCAGTCAGGGGCCACATCAGTGAGGGTTTTGTTTTGTTTTGTTTTTTTGCTTCTAACTGTGTGCGGCCCCGACTGATTTTTTTCTGTGCATTGGTGGCCCTGACCAAAAAGATTGCCCACCCCTGAACTAGGGTTTGAATCTTGACTTGGAAATACAAGGTTCTGTCTACTTCTCATCCCTGTCCACCAACCACCTGTGCAAGCAAAGGATCAGCAATGCAGTGGAACTGTTCTCTTCCCCTGTGCATGAGCTAGTGACAGTAACCCTTTCAGGGGAATAAGGAGGTGACTAATAAGTCTTTTCTCCCCAGTGTTTACACCAGGGGGCTTATGACTGAGCCTTAATGCTCAGGTCCTTACATAAACTTCATCTGTTTCTAGGAGCTTCTGCACTGGATGCATTTGGAATATGTAGTTGGGATTAGTTTGAGTGGGACGCCATAAAATGCTGGAGTGCATTTGATTAGTTCATCTGTGGTTCTGATACATTAGTTTCACTCTCATACGTTTTATGGTCTCTTCTTTTATTCAGGAAGGGGGGAACCTATGAACAAACTGTAGGGTCATAAATTAATCTTAAGTCCCACTCCTGTAACATGAACTTTGACTTTGGAAAATCAGGTGACCAGAAATGGACCATAATTGATTCATCCTCATCTCATAGTGTAGACCTGGCCCAAGCTGAAGACTGAATTGATCAAGACAGGTTTAAATTGCTCCAGCTCTGATAAGCTGATTTAGTCTGTCGATGAAGACCGATATCAGTGTGTAAATGTATGTAAGCCGATCAGCTGAGTCCCTCAGTGCTTGATGACCTGTCAGTGGGGTCTTTGGTGTATTGCATTTTGGAGGGCTCGGTATGTGGGTTGTTAATGTTCACCTTAGTTAAATATAGTATTATAGCTCTAAATTAGGGTCAAGGAGTCAGTACTGGATAAGAATTTTTACAAATTCTAGAGCCCTCACTCCTGGCTACACAGTATAGGGAGCTGGTATTCTGTTTCGCCTTAACCAAAAGCCCCAAATAGGTTTCTAGTTATGCCATTTAAATATTGTTTTTTCTTTTAAAGGAACAGCATCCCAACAGACCAGTCACTCATTTCTGCTGGAGACAACAGAGTGCAGGTTCTGAAAAATGTGCCTTTCAATATTGTTCTTCCACATGCCACCCCAATGGCCATGGACAAGAGAAGCCACCTGACAACCCCCGACACCACTGTCACTGTTTCCATTGCCACAATGCCCACTCATTCCATTAAAACAGAAACGCAGCCTCATGGCTTCACTGTGGGCATCCCTCCCGCTGTCTACCACCCTGAGCCCCCCGACCGGGTTGTGGTTTTCGACCGAAATCTCACCCCTGATCAGTTCAGTTCCAGTGCTCAGGCTCAGCACTCCCAGAGGCGCACACCAGACTCCACCTTCTCAGAGACCTTCAAAGAAGGCGTGCAGGAGGTATAAGGATCACCCGCCATGTTCTCTCTCTGTCTGCGTGTATGTGTTTTCGCAACCCAATCAGTGCCTGGATATCATGTTTCACCTCTAGCTGTTATGTAAACCTGAAATCTCAGTCCTGTGGATTAGAAATAGAAAACTTTCCCAGAAAGGTCCAGTGAATTAAATCTATAAAACAAAAAATCATTATAAAAAGCAAATAGCTAATCTTACAAGTGACGGAAGCTTTGGTTAAATAGCTCGTGGAAATAATAATCTGTCAGCAGCAACACTGAAATAAATAGCCAGACAAGATTTCAAGAGTTCTGTACCCAACACCTCCTATTTTTGCACCTAAATAAACTGATCAGATTTTCACAAGTGCCAAGCTTCTGTTGTCTTCCAAGAGAAGTTCTGTGCGCTTGTGAAAAATCTGGCCAGTTTGTTTAGATGCTTCTGACTGAGAGCTAAGCTCATAAACTCTGTTTTTTGTTTGTAATTTATTTTATTGCATCTCTTGAAATCTACAGGTTCACCAAAGCTTCCCTTTAAGTTCTAACTCATCATTAGGGATGTGTGTGCATAACTTCCATTGGTTACCAAGCTTCAGGAAGGGTTGATTTAAAAGGCATCCACAAACTGGCACAGAATGGGCTTGCTAGATCTTGTGCTTAATTGGCATATAAAACAGTATTTGACTGGGGCCCATAAACAGCATGATGTATATGCTAGCCACAATCCCTAGTTATTAGATATTCAGGCCAACTGAAGCTGGCTTGTTACTGGCAGCTGTTGAATCTTGATTCTGTTTGGTTGAATTAATTATTGGTATTTTCAGGTTTTCTATCCTACTGAACTAAATCTACGGATGGCCAGCATGAGTTCAGAGGACTATGTTTTTGACAACATTGCTGGGTAATATTTCAAACTTTCTGTTGTCCTGTATCTGCCTGATGTCTTTCTGCCAGTTTATTCATGGCTAATGGGTGTGGCTTGGTTATGAATTCTTTTACATTGCCTTTCTTTAAGCATGATTCTCAGCAGGGCTGAGCACACCTGCAGCTGCCATTGGGTTTCGCTGGAGCTGTGCACTCAGCAACCTGGAGAATCATGTTGGAAATATTTAGGAAAACTCTCATTGTCGGGTTGATAACAGCACTGGCATCTGGGAGTCTTATACTGATTTCTTTCCAACTTAATACGTTGTGATCCATCTAGTCATTTACTGCAGAAGCCTCTTGGAGTAGGCTCTTAAATGCCTCACCCCAATAGACACCCAGAGATGTTTGTCTGCTCTCTCCATGCTGAGACTCTATAACAGACACTGGAGGTTTGCTGTGTGTGGATTTTGTGTATGGAGATGGATGACGATGAGGGTTTGCATTGGGAAATTAATTGAACATGAAAAATTGGCGGGGGGGAGGGGTTGGTCATTTATAAAAACTCTTCTGTTACATAAAGGAAACATGTTACATAAAGCCTGGATAGGCAGCTTCCTATCTATTCTATCTATTGATTGTCTGTGGGCTTTGAGTGAAAAGAGCTTTTCTAGACATTTTGTCATGTATGATTGTCATGACTGATTGCCAACAAAGGGGCTGGTCTTGCTTCCTCCTCCCTTCCATGTTAGTGTCTCAACTAATAAGCCTGGAATTTCTCCAAATTAAATGTAAAACATTTAGTTTCCTCGCAAATGTGTTAGCAATCAATGGCCTTTTTGTCTCCTAGGAATAACTTTGAATACACCCTAGAAGCTTCCAAGTCACTTCGTCAGAAGCCAGGAGACAGCACAATGACATACCTGAACAAGGGTCAGTTTTATCCAATCACCCTTAAAGAAGTCAGCAGCAGTGAGGGAGTCCACCACCCCATCAGCAAAGTCAGAGTGAGTGGCCACTCTTGCAGCTTCTCGGGAGAGGTTTTTATGGGTCTTGATTGCTTATTGGAGGTACTGGACTGACTGCCTGGAAGTCCCATAGTCACTACTCAGTCTGGACTGAAGCTCAGAGCAACAGGCCCAGCTTTCCCACTGCCGTGCCAATGAGGAACAGAAGAGGTTAAGTCTGTCTCTAGGCATACTCAGTCACTGGTGTCTCTGAGCATGCCAAACAAGCGAGTCAGTACTGGTGGTAGGTGTGTGCAATGTGGACACCTGGGAGGAGAGCATTCAACTCTTTAACTTTCTTGTTCTTTTATAGCTCTGGAGAACATTAGCATGTAAAGAGGGTCTTACCTAGCATACCTCTCTCCTTACCCCCCTCTTTCTTTCAAAGAGCGTCATCTTGGTTGTGTTTGCTGAAGACAAAACAAGAGAAGATCAGATAAGGCATTGGAAGTATTGGCACTCAAGGCAGCATACAGCCAAACAAAGGTGCATTGACATTGGTAAGAAATGCTCTAATTACTGGTGTCTAGCTCTAAGCCTAATTTCTTTGGCAGGATTTGACCTTCTTGTGGGACTTCATTTTTAAAGGGAATATTCAGAACAGGCTGAGCACTGTCCTTAGCTTTGTGGTAAAACCAAGGGATTTTTTGGCTAAGGTACTTTTAGAAGGCGCTAGGGATTTTGGCAGCCTCAAATTAGGAGTGGTGGGAGATGCGTGCTAACGTTTGATACCGGATTTTTAGAAAATACAAAGCCTCCTCTCCTCCCTGCCATCTGAAGGACTGGCCCTTTTCAGATGTCTCAAATTGGAGTATCCAAAAATGGAGGCACCCCCAGATCACTAGATAAGAATCTTGGCCAATATAGTTTCACTGTGCTCTCTGGATTCTGCAAGCTTTCTGAACAGTCAGGCTAGGTCTACACTACAGGGTTTTTGCGCAAAAACTCATGGAGCCTCCTCACCTCAAGCGTGTTTTTGTGCAAGTAAAATGAAAGAACAGATGGGTTTTTCTGTGTAGGGGTACCTCTTTCTACAAGAAATAACTCCTTTTTGCACAAGAACTCTTGTGCAAAAAGGTGTGTGTGAATGGGGAACATGGTTTTTTCCGCAAAAAGAGGCAATTGGGGGAAAAAAAAAAAAACAGTTACCCTGGTGGCCATTCTGTATATAGCAATCAGAGTTTCCTTTCGAGAGAGCATCCATGCTGTCTGGATGCTCTCTTTCCCAAAAGTACATCACTTTTTCCATGCACTTTTGTGGTATGGATGCTCTCTTGTGCAAGATGTTTTTGTGGAAGATCTCTTCCGCAAAAAGCTTTTTGTGCAAGAAGCCTGTAGTGTAGACATAGCCTCAGCATTGTTTTCAGGGGACAAACTCTCTTTTGAAATATTTCAGCACTCTTCAGTCTTCTTCCTGCTACTGCTCTTGCAGAAAGTCCTCGGTTCAGTTAAAAAGAAAACACAGGAAATTTTCACTTGCCTGCAGAGAAGACTGTGACTGGCTGGCTTCCAGATTTCCTTGGTTGAAGGCTGGGTTGTGCTTCCAGCCCTTTCCTTCTGTGAATAAAAGCAGGGATTAAGCCCTTGGCACTTAAAGCTGACGCGCATGCAAATCTTTGTTTATTATTGAAGGAGCTTTATTGAGAGCTTATTCTCTTGTCAGGCAGCGTGACATTTCTCATATGTAACTATGGGGTATGGCACCAATATAGGCCATGCTTGGCGTCGCTGCCTTTCCCACTTCAGTTTTTGTTTTAATTTTTTTGTCTCTTTTTACAATGAGATACTTTCAACCTTCAGTAACGATCCGCCTCTGAACACCTTTCAGAATTTTTTAACCCTGAAGGTTCTGTGGAAGAGCTGCAGTTGCTATTCTCCTTGTCTGCTTTGTATGATTAAGATGCTCTCCTCTCCTTCCTGACAGCTGACTATAAAGAAAGTTTCAACACAATCAGTAACATTGAAGAGCTTGCGTACAATGCCATATCCTTCACTTGGGACATTAATGACGAAGCAAAGGTATGTGACCCAGCTTCTGTTTCCTGCTCTTTCAGCATATGGGGAAAGAGAGAGGGGTGTGTGACCTGATGATTAGCATGTAATGAGTTTGTTTACAGTCTTGTGTTAAGAAATAGGCAAAATCTTTTTGGTTGAAAGGGCTTGTGTGAGCAAATATTAAAAGCTTTGTAGTCATTTAAGATTCTGAGTGGGGAAATCTATCCTTAGCTGGGCAAATACTGACACATGCGAGCACCAGGTTTCTTCCTAAACACGGCTGGCGATGTGATTTTGTGTAATTGGGAACCAACATGTAGTGTCCTGGTAATTGCCAGTAACGTTTTCGGGTGCTCCAACAGAGAGGCCAGTTTGCCAGGAGCCTAGATTGTTAAATGCAATTTAGGTGCAGCAGAGTAGATTGCAGCTGCCCTTATGTATCTACAGTGCTACGTTCCTTTGAGATTACGGACCCTTGTGTGCAATGATCCATATTAATCTGAGTGGCCCATAGGTGAACTCATTGAGTCACCATCTGATCCTCACCCAATGCCTTGGGCCACTGGGTTAGGTGGTAGATGCACTGTCAGCAGCTTTCTCAGCTGGTGTGTTTGATAATTGTAGCTGTTGCTGTTTGAAGCCATAACCCAAGTAAATGTGCAGAGGAGCCGTGTTCTCTTAAAAGGGCTAGAAAACCAGTCTAAAGAGAGCAGAGAGGAGCTGGTTGATCAGACTGCCAAGCTGATGTAGTTACAGCTGCAAAGTGTTGAAAGAGGGGTTTCTGTAACTCACTAACTCTTGCTGGTCAATCACGTGATTGGCCAATGCGATCCCCATGTTAGTGGTATAAGGCTTTCTTTGTAAAGTGGAGACTGTTTAACTTCCTGTTTGAGATCAGCTGACCATATGTTTTAAGCTGGGAACTCACAAAATGAAAATGGCTAAAAATGTAAACATCTATCATGCCGAAGGACTCCGAAGTGCTGCACCTGGTGGTGCTTCTAAAGGGTCAATGGCAGAACTACTCACTGAAGAGCACTGTGGTGCTGCCTGTCTGGAGCTAATTGGCACAGTGCTTTACAGAACAAGTAGAAGACAAGGTCCCTGCCCAACTCTGTCAGATGCGCTGGATGACCATTCAGGTGGGAGGTGTAAAGACCTTAGGCAGGAAACAGTGTTGACAGCTTGATGAAAGTGGGTTGTGGGGAGGTGGAGGTACTTAGGACATGGGCAGTGGGAGGCTGTTCTTAGTATTTACTGTTAGAGTAAATAAAATCTACTCCTTGCTGCTTAGCCCTGATGGGTTTTTATGCCTCCAACCTGAGTGTGTTTGTGTTTGTGGGTTTTTTTTTTTTTTTTTTTTTTTTGTAGCATCGTGTATTCACTTAAGCAAGATTACTCTTGAGTCTAGTATCAGAGGCCTGTCTTTAAAATTAATTGAACTAAGAACCTAATGTCCTAGCTTTGTTCATGGCAAAAGGGATGGTTTTCCATTTTACCATGGAATTAGATGCCTTTTCCATGCAAACGTACAGAATGGTTTGAATGTGTTTTGAGATGTGGAAGTGATAGACCATTCAGGAAACTGGAGCTGCTCTCAGTAGGCTGTGTAGGATCTAGGAGCAGAGAGGTACATACTGTCTCACTGTGGTAGGTTAGATTAATAACACTTCTATCCGAGAAACTCAAACTCCTTTACAAAAACAAATTAACCGAGCTTCACGGTGACCAGGAGAAGTAGGTTATAATTATTTACAGAATGGGAAATTGAGACAATTTGCTTCATTGTTATGAAGAGACTAGTTTTGTTCAGATAGTTGTGGCTAGTAAATGCACAAGCAGGAGAGCAGGCAAAGACATGAACTAAAGGTTCAGTGTTGATCTTGGATAAATAAGTGAATTTCATTACTAATCCTCTGAAATCTGCTGTGCATCTGTCTCCACAGGGAAAGGGGACAGTATTTTCTAGGACGGTGGTTTTATGAAAGGGGATTGAGAACTGAATGTCTGACTTTGGAGAGTTGGGTGGTGCAGGGAATTATTAGAGAGGAGCACAGTTCTATGTAAACAACTGGTTCAAATTCAATTCAACGTACTAGAGACTAAGTCATTTCTGTAATGTTAGCCTATGATGTCCTGGGTGCAATAAACAGGTGGGATGGGTGTTCACATAAAAATTACCACTGATATAATTGGCACCCTTTGTGGGCCCTCTGCTCAGACTCCCAGTGAGTGAATGTGGAGAGAGTGAAAGATCTCCCCACTGCTACATATGGTTCCTCCAGGTGAGGTTGAGGCAGTTTCAGGAGTTTTGTGGGAAGATTGTGCCATGCTTGTCTTGTGACTCAATGGAGAATGGCACCTTCCAGGGCCATCAGTTTGCCATTAGATCTGCTAGCTAAACAACCCCCTGAATTGGTGCTACCTGGCCTTTGAGCATGTATCCTGGCCAGGGCTGTGCCTAGCAGTGCAGGGAGGGGAGTTTTCAGGGCTGCAGGACTGGTGGGGGGCAGGCCGGGTGGGGACAGGAGCAGGACAGGGAGGCAGCAGGGGCTGGGCCTCCCTGCATTCACCGCTGGTAGCAGGAAGCAGAGCTACCCAGCCCAAGCCCACTCGGCGCTCTTGGCTCCCAGCCACGATGCTCAGTGCACGGATGTGGGACGAGGGGTGGGACTGTCCCCACACGCACTGGCAGCAGGATTCAGAGCGCTGTGGCTGGGAGTTGGCAGAGTGGAGCGGGATGGGGCTGGGTTGCTCAGTTTTCCGCTGCTGCTTGTGAGTGCAGGGAGGGCCTGACTCCCAGTGCCATGCCTGGGGACTAGTGGGAGACTCTTCACTTGGGAGGAGGAGTGGAGTGTGGGCAGTAAGAGGCGTGGTGGAGCAGGAGGTCCTGGTCCTGTACCCCTCTAGGGATGGCCCTGTGGAGGGGCTGGCCTGAGGGTGAGGCTGGTCTCCAGAGCTGGCACTGCTGCATAGGCAGCTGCCTTGGGCTCTTCAGTGTTCGGGGTAGTTCATGGGGCTCTATGCTGCTGCATATTTTGTGTATAGGTAGGGACAGCCCTGGTCCTGACCTTTGGAAACTTACCAAGTGAAACTGAAAGTCTGAAAGACTTCTATTCAAAATGAAACAAGCAGGGAACCTCTGAGCGTTTCTGGTGTTGTCTGTGTGTAGCTGACTATCTCTACTGTGCTCCTGGGGGTAAGGCGTCCAGCCAGGGGAGCCATGTGAGCTGTGGGGCTCAAGCTAGCGCTCTAAAAATAGCAGTGGGGAGACTGAGGCTCTAGCTGCACCTTGCGCCCGTCACCCAGCGTAGTGTCCACATAGCTATTTCTAGCTGGCCACCTTGAGTCTGTCTGGGAGGCTCACTCCCAAGTGCCATGCACCCTGAGGTGTTAAATGAGACACATCCACAAGCACACTGGGTTTCTAAGTCTTCTGTTCAAACTTTTTTTTTTTCCCTTGAGCAAATGCATTTGACAGTGAATCTTGATCAGCTTACTCATCGCCAGAGCTGTAGCTCTTTCCCAACTCCTCTGATCTTATCAGGAGGAGACTGAGCCAATTTCAACAATTTTTATTGCATGGTTCATTTACCTCACATTTTTTGACAAAAGCTTGTGTGGCACTGTGTATGGAGAGGGTGGGGGAATGAGGCAAGAGTTGAGTTTCTCATGCTACAGGGAAGTCTTTCAAAGCAATAAGTACAATGCTTTATTTTTAATAATGATGGTGATCTTCTATTGATAAAGTGCTTAATGAACTGATGTACCGTGGAGCCTGGATTATCTGGAGGGTGCTTACTCAGCCTTTCTCTTATCTGAAATGGTAGGCCTACAGCCAAGCGATTCATCTTGGGATAGTGCATGTTTTTTTTTTTCCTCCCCTTGCCCAAGGTTTCTGGTGCCTCATCTCCTGTGAGAATGGCTAGGGCCGTTGTTGAATGTTAGAGATTTGCCTGCACTACAGAAAGTTGCAGTGGTGGCAAAAATGCTGTGCATCCATACCAGCCAGGCATGTGTGCAGAAATGTAACTTTGACCCCTTTCGGAGGGAGGCTTGTTCTGTGACCCCACCAACCCCAGCAGAAACTTGCTTTTCCTCCCACGGCCCCAAGAAGTTCTGTCCCCACACCAATTATTGTGTTTGGAGGGGCGTGTTCCTATTTGCCCCTCCCCTTTGTGCACACTCCTGATACTGGCTGTTTTGGCAAGCTCTGCTCTTTGTTCATGTGTATGATGTAACTTATGGGATAGGCAACCTGAGCCTATAGATGTGTTTTACATTTTTTTTAAAAAGGGTGAAGTAAAATATCATTCCATGACACTGTTTCCAGCTGTAATACCAGTGTATTGAGGGTACACAGCCTTCCTTCCCAGCATGAATCCTTGAAGTTGGGTCCCTGGGAGTAACGATCCGCAGCTGCGGAGATGGTTTCTCAAATGAAATGTCAGCCACGGAAACGAACATTTTCTAATGGACTTTGTATACCTCATGGACTGTGTAAAATATAATGGCACTATTGTGGCATGGAAATATTCTTTGTCTTTTAAACACGGGAAGCCTTAAGATTGCTGCATTGCAATTTATAAACAGAAAGCTCCCGTTGCATGAAATGGAAGTAGCTTGAAACAAAAATCATCAGGTGTTTAGGAGACTGTACCTTGCAGTGAGAGCTGCCTGGTTCTCAGCAGAGTTCTGCCGGGAGCTGCAATCCCAGAGTTTTCCATGTGCATTGGTGCTATGTTGCATCAGTGGCTTGATGCAGGGTATAGTGGTGACCAGGCTTACTCTGAGGAAGTGCGGTAACAATGTAGCTAACAGTGCTTGCGCAGGGTTGGTTCACCCATGTACATTGATACGTGTGGGGGAGCTTGCCAGTCCAAAACCAGACAGTGTAAAGAGGCAGTTCTGTGGGCCTGTCTGCTGTCCCTTCAGCAGCTCCCCAGTGCCCCCTGCTGGCTACTCTGAGACAGAACAGGAGTCTCTTGAACAGTGGTGGGGAACCTTCAGGCCACCTGCGGCCC